CAGGTGTAATATGACACATCTGCTGACATATTAAGTTACACTGATAGGGCAGTAACAGGATCTGAACCAGGAGATGTGAAGGAAACTGCCTTGTCTCTTGCACGATCTTACGCCAATAGAGGCTCTAGTAGAGGGGGGAAGGGAGGGAGCAGGAGGGAACAAGAAAGAGAAACAGAGTATGGTTATGCCATCTCAAAAATCTTAATCTGTCACCTTCAAGATACTGTCATCGTGGACAAGCCTTTTAAGCAAAGAGGTGGACTGTACTGCTGTAACAACCGTGCCTCAACGGTACATGAGGACACTGGAATGATAGCGTCAACCAATGGTAGTGGAAGCCACAAATGGAATTCGACCATCTTTAAAATGACAAGAAATCAGAAGGTATTACCGAATCAGTGTAACTAATTATAAATTAATTCCTTGGCCAAAAACACAGAGTAAAAAAATACTGAGATTAAAATATAAACCAAGTTCAATCTCATTCACAACTGGATTTAGCATTTCTATCATTTGAAGTTAAACGTTTAAATTTAAAATATGGGGTTTTTTGTATGTTGAGTTTATGTACATTTTCCAAACATATTCTTAACATTACTCCTTATCCGTAAGGCTGATAAGAGACTGACAATAATTATGCTTTTATATTCAACACAACACAGTACATTGTGGGCATGCATGTACATGAATGTATAACATCTGTATGTACTGTACTATTTAGATCTGATTTGAATACTAAAATTATAACCTGACTGGATTCATGCATGGATCCGATATCAGTGCACTAATGGAGTATCTACACAAAAGATATATAACATGCCACCCAATACTGGAAGAGACACAACAGCAACGTAACAGGCATGCACAAGTCCGCACTGAAAACACGCATTTCAAATCAGTGTCTACAGTTTCATCAGAGTACATTATGGTAGAGGCCGGGATAGCACAGTCAGTATAGCAACTGCTATGGGCTGGACAACCGAGAGATTGGAGTTTGATTCCCGGTGGGGTCAAGAATTCTCACTTCGCCATGTCATCCAGACTGGCTCTGGGGTCCGCCCAGCTTCGTATTCAATGGCTACCAGGGGTTCTTTCCCCAGGAGTAAAGTGGCAGGGGTGTGAAGCTGACCACTCACCTCCAACTAGTGCGAAGGTCAAGAAAACGTGGGTCCATACACCCACTCCCAAATATGCCTTCATGGCATAGTGTATAATTAGTTAAGTACAGGGACAACTTTACCTTTACAGATTCTCACTAAATTCATAGTGCAGAGTCCTATTTGAGAAGCTGTTAGTAGCACATACAATCATTAAATCTGCCTTTTATGGAACACAAAGGTTTATTATTGTGTTCACATGAGCATAACACAAGAGACTACCTTCAGCCAAATGAAAACAGTCCAGAACCTCACATCCTATTTCTTTAATATTATCCTTCTATTTACACCTCAGATCTCCCTAGTGGTGTCTTCCCCTCAAATTTCTGCCTAACATTTTGTGCGATTTTTCGCCTCTCGCATCTCATCTTTCTTTATTCAATCATTCCAATAGTACTTGGCGAAGAGCGCAAATTACAAAGTTCTTCATGCAGTTTTCTCAAACATTCTCTTACTTATAACTTCTTTAGTACAAAGACTCCCTTCAGTAATCAAATTTCTGACACCATCAATCTACATTCTTTCCTTAATGTGAGATGAAAGTTTTGTGTCCATACAGAAACAGAGGCAGTAGACTCTGAAATGAACTGCTGCAAACATTTCATATGCTCTTAATTTCTTCATGAGTGCAATTTTGATCTGTTAGCATTATTTCTAAATATCTGAAATCTGCCACATTTACAATGATTACTATCTATTGTAAGTACTGAGTTAGGCAGATATAAAAATGAACAATATTTAGCTAACAATCCAAATAAATTTACAAAAACTCTACAGCATGTAGAAGGAATCATTTCACGAACAGTGTGGATACACTTGGTCACCTGTATTTTTTCATTTATTTATTCTTAGCTTATAAGATGATGCTATCCACAGTTCAGAAGAAAGGATGTGGATACAAACTACAGGAACACAACTGCCTGGCAAAGAATCGTTTTTAATATTAGATAAGGCAGAAAGGTAAAACTAAATTTACCCTAGGGCATAGCAATTAAGCACTATGCCATGAAGACGTATGGGGGAGCTGAGGTAGAGCTCCACCACTCTTACCCCTAGACTAGAGGAGGGTGAGTGGTCAGATTCACACCCCTACCACTTTACCCCCAGGGAAACAGCCCCCCAGTATCCACTGTCTGAATTTTACTGAAAAAAGTACTGGGAATCAAACCCCATCTCCTCAGTTTCCTAGCCTGTAATGTTTGTTATGTGGTAAGATTCAACAGGTAAATATAATACTAGATGATAATTACAAAAGATCTTGTATATTATATAATGTAAACATATAGGTTCAACTTAATAAAACTGTATTTACGGACCAACATGTGGAACTGAATTAAATACGACATGAAAAATATAAAACTGACTATTAAGAACATAGCAATGAGCCACAAAAGGCTGGATATTCCTTGACAAACTTAGTTACTGTCATTTTCTCAAGGACTCTACTTCCTGGAATCCAAGTACTGGGAGAGGGAGGGGGACCATATTAAAAAAAAAAACATAATGAAATATTAATTAGGAAAAAGGGCAAACCTGTATGTGAATGAATTTCTTATAACCCTAAACTACATGAAGTTATAGCCATTTTAATATGGCAAATAATGTTGCAATGTAGAAACTGTTGCAAATGAGATTGTAGTGGTGCGCCTGTTATACTGTTGTCTCTCTCTCTGGTATAAAGCATCAATTTAAAATGCACGGATCTCAAACAAATCTTGTCATGTCTCATCCTGTGCTGTATGTCACGATGCATGCTGTCTCTCTTCAGCGTAGATCCCACCCAAGATTTAATGAACTCTCAAATGGGAAAAGTTTTCTAAGAAGTTCAATAAAATAATGTTGGAAAATTTAGTCAAAACTTCCACATAAACATTGGAAGGCAAATTATTGCTTCCAATTTTCAAGTTTCATTAATACATAATTTTTAACATACAGATGATGAGCATTTATATACACATTACTTGCAAGCTATATACGCAATAAATGTCTCTGCAAATACCATTCCAGTTTACAGATTAAACTTCTGTATATATGCCTTATGGTTTGTAAAACTGCAGTAATAACAAAATTTTATATCTATATAAATGTTAAAAAATACACAACAATAAATAAATTATAATCATTGGTGAAAAAACAAATGGGGAGCATTGAGCTGTATAATAAAATATTAATGCAAAGACTACAGATGTAACAGGAACTTGATGGCCTGCTGATATAACCATATGGTTAACCACAGGGCTTGATTAAACTCTATATGAAATAAATGCACTGATATCAGAAAGATAAACCAACCATCTGAAACAGGATGCACACGAGTTCAGAGCAGTGAACTTCAAGAATACATATACATTTGTACATCGCACACTCCCAAGCTGTCTGCAATGGATGTCTAGAGAGCTACCGACACTCAGCACTTCAAAGCAAGATATATCATGTTCACATTCCCTCAAGAATCAAAGAACCATTCAAATGAGATCCATGTGAGGTTATGAATACAACCAGGTGTAGGTGATCATGTGATTGTTTGCATCAAAGGAAAGTTCTCTGCAGAGAAGATCACTGGCTAGTGGGTCAATGGGATGTCTGCCTCAACACCAATAAAGACTATTTTCAATGGCCTCTACTCCTCTGTCCAGAACAATCCCTGAATAGATATCACTTGAATAAGCCTTATATTTGCTTTATGTGCACTACTGCCACCAAACCTTTCTAAGATACAGTCTGATAATGGACTAGTGTAGTACAGTATTACTAAAATATAAATGTTGTAATTTGATGATTTATATGCAGTACTCAGAACATGTGCGTCCCTGCACAAATGGCTAGTTTCCTTGTAAATTCTAAGAAACATGAAGGCAGATGGCTTACCAAAAGAGAAA